ATTACAGAAATAATAAAACAGCACCCCCAATTTATTTGGGTCTATACATGCTAAGGCAGCTTTGAAATTTAAGTCAAAAGTATGTTTAAAAAAACCACTTTGAATAGTTGCACATCAGAGTCATTGATGAGACATAAACAATCCCTACTGGCTTCCAATTTGAGGTATGTGGCAGATTTCTCTCTCAAGCAGTTCATATGAATACTAACAATGCTTTCCCTTTTCAGGTTCCTAGGAGCAGAACAGGTGACCTAAAGGAAACCATTCTGCTGCATTTCTGCAACACAATTCTCAAACACTGTGTTGGAGGGTTGTTTCCACCAGTATGAAACCATCCATAACTCACTCAGCGTTGACAGTGACATCACGCTTGAACAAACTTTAGGGAGCCTTAAAAGGCACACACTTTGCAACAGTTTCATTTTTAGAAAGTACTTTCGAGTTTCAGAAAGGCCCAGGGAAATCTCTCTGGAAGGTGGACACATTTAAGGGCACACTCCCAGCTACTGACCACAGGCACATTACCATAGCTTTCTAACAGCTTCTGTGCAGAATGCTCTCTGCTTTAAATTGAGAGTAATTATATGGAAGTCAGAAGCTGCACTGAAATAAATCAGTGCTGAAACTGCAGTCACAGCTCTCTAAAAATAAATATATAAAGAGACTGATAATATCAAGGAAACGACATATGCTTTGATAATCCATTGTTGACATGTGGAGATTCTACCAAACTCCTACAAACAAAGAAGAAATGAATGGATACAGGTCTCATTCATTCCACCAGAAATACCTGTTCAGTCAAGTGTCAGTGAATTGTCACATCTCCCAGAAGTTATAAAGGTCTGATCTTTCTACAGGCAATATCCTGAGCTTGTGCTCCCATCTCCCCCATAAAATAAAAATAATTGCAACTTCTGCTTCTTTCAACACTTACAGGCTACCTGCTGTATTCTACATTATAACTATAAGCATATATTGAATTACAAATGCAGCTTAAGGTCTGAAAACCACGCAAAGAAACAACAGTTTACAACTTGCTGAAAAAAGAAACATGGAAACAAAATTTTTTTTTTCCTTTTTTTTTACTGTTATTTCCCAGTCCTCAACAGTATTCACACATAAAACACTTAAAACAAGATAAAAAAATCATGCATGATAAAAAGATTGAAAGCATTATTGGAAGTGACTTGTTAACTCTGCAAGCCTACGGATAATGCATCTCAGCAAGTTCGGCTATTATTTGGTCAATATTTCTCATTTGGCTTAATGGAACATGATGGATAGCCAAAGGAGGCATTCTTTCTTCAACATCCTGAGTCAAGCAAGTATCCCAATATAAAAGAGCAAAACATTTCGGCAGAACAGGACATTTCAACAAAGCATACATCTCTTCACACAAATGCAAGTGCTGCAGGAAGCAGTAATGACCTTTATATAGGTTACTTTGAAACACGTTTCTGAATTTTTCTACCAATTCCCTCAAGAAAAAATATGAAAATACTTTAAAAAACAAAATGAAATCTTACGGCTTGAAATGCAGTAAGCCAGCCTGCAGTTGATCCTCCTGAACAGTTGCTTGTTGATTGGCCAAAGTATAAGTGTAAAGAGTTGAATGAAGTTAATGATCAGTCCTGACACTATAAATATGTAGCAGATCAGAAGGTGGCAAATGAATTGAGACTTCAGAAAGCCAACGATGTCCATGATTTGCTGAGAAAGCAAGAGGGTACCTTCAGACCCAAAATTCAGAAGAAAACCTGCAAAACCAAATAGTATCAGCGGTTACAGAGTGCATTTATTTCCATAAACAGACTGTTAATACAGACTTCCCATTTTACACTTAAATACACCAAGTGCACTAAAATGAAAGTTAATTCTGTTGTCGAAAAAGGCCTGATGACAATATTTGCAAGAGTAAGCATGGAAAGAGAATACCATATTTCTGAATCAATTCACATTTGGCTTTGGAAACAAATTTTCACATTTTCAGTCCTTCTTCTGCAAAACACACAAGCACATGACTGCGTTCCATGGACTACAATACTCCTCTATCAGGACTTTATTGATAAAATATGAGCAAAACAATACACTTACATTTTGAATTGTCTGTACTTTATAAGACACATACTGTGGCCTCTGCTATCCTTAAGAGCAGCTCCAAAGTAAACGCAAGCTTTAGAGCTTTATGTTAGAAGTTGTGCCTTCCTCTACAGGCTATGCCTGCCACGGTCTCCAACCAAGAGGTAGCAGCAGCCCCTTAATTCTAGCTTTATTTGCTTGTTCCCTTGTCACATTAAAATATCAGTTGATTTTGGCAAAAGAATAAAAACTTGGCTATGCACAATACACACAATTTGTTCAATTATTCCTTGACACTGTCATTCTGTCAGTTATACTCCACAAGCCCAGAAAGGAAACATCAATAACAGTATTAACCCATAACCCAGCAGTGTTTCCAGAAAAAATAAACTCTTAGGTTACTTAAGAAATGTTTGTGTAATTTTGGAAAGGACCAGTCCAAACTTAGCAGCTGAGCATTCAGAGGAAGTGTCCTCTGCCAAATATTCTGGGCCACCAAATCCCGTACTGACCTCCCCCCACCATCACTGCCACCAACGCTAGTCTCCTTTGTTAGGAGAAAAAACACAAAGACATGATCTCTCAGTAAAAAACATCAAAATATTTTGAATGCAGTTAAGCAGGAGGTGCTACCATCCTGTTCCACTCCTACACCGTTTCTCCCTCCGAGGCGTAGGAGAGTTTGCTCAGGGAGGAAGACCCAAGACAGTCTTTCCTGTGCCAGTCAATAACAAAATGGCAGCTGCCTGCATCCTGGGGAAATAACTGATGCAAAAAATCTTTATGCCTGTCCTTTTAGTTTATATGAGACCTCATTATGTGAGGCACTGAGTCCAGATCAGTGTCCTGAAACATTTGTTTTGCTGCCCTTGCTAACTATGCTTAGCACAGCAAAAAGCCCACACAAGAACTGCTGCAAAGCCATAGGAAGTTATATGGCCAGCTTTTCAACCGCAAGGAAGATGAAGAAAAATTTCAGAAAGAGAATCTGTATTGTTGTATAATTTATCTGAAGAGTTTATGGCAGTCCCAAGCCTATTATTAGCAGACAAAATGTGTCCTTTGTCTATCACAGACTTTGTTCCCTTTATCTTGCTGCACTATTCCGTACCAAAGGAGACACCAGCTGTAGCTCAAAACAGCAACCAGGCCTCTGGTCATTGCAGTAACTACTGTCAGGACACTTGCAAATAGCTTTTCCCGCTTTAACCAACCATTCTATTAGAGATACACCTCCGTGGGTGGCAGACAATTTATGAGCACGGGCTTTGGTTTTGTTGAAAGCTAAGGAGAATGAGAAATGTTGCCTAGCAGGAATCACTGCATGGACGCGTGCCCCAGGCTCTCCATCGCACACTCTGAAGACAGAGCCAAACACTTTGGGTAGGGATGGGAACCCAAGTTTTGAATAAGTTCACAGTGAAAGATACAAGATTCCCTAATTCAGACTATAGTACTTCACCAAGTAGTGGGAATGGATCACTTCTTTAAAACAATCAGAATGAGAGCAACCAGTTACTTACACCTGGATGGTTTAAAAGTCTGTCGGTGCCTGAAACCCTGATGACTGGGTTTTACCCTGCCTTGGCTAGAACTTTTTTGTGCTAGCTAGCCTGTTCAATTCCATCCTACAGAATCACCCTAATCTAATGTAATTCCCAGAGATGAGCAAGATCAAAAAAAAAAAAAAAAAAAAAAAAAACCAACCCCCCAAAAAACCCAACCTATTCATAAGATTAAAGCACTGTCTATTTTACAGTGGAGACCTGAAAATTCACTATTTGATACGATCAACAGAAATCTACTGTAGTAAGCAACTGATCAACAGACTTTGTGACAAGGAAGAATTCACCAAAGTACTATTCCAACAATTTGCTGGAGGTTTTTTTTTTTTTCCATTGGAATAGTAGTCAAACTCTGTTAAAATGTTATGTTTACGTGAACCATTTACTTCATATTGGATCCTAAAACTTCACAGAATTAAAATAAACAAAGGTGATATGACCATGATAAAACATAATTACCATCTTACAATTTTATGAAGCCACGATGCTTGAAAGCAATTTATTCCTCACTTTCATATCTCAGTCATTAAATTTCAATTCTATAAAGCTCCTAAAGAATGTTTTAAAGGCAAGCTACATCTGCTTACACAGTACCACTGAAATGTATCGAATCTAACTTGCTCATAAAAGGAAGAAACTAGAGTCACTGCTTAAATTTTGCTTTTCTGACAATCAGGGAGACTGGAGACATTAATTTTCTTTTCTGACTAAATGTGAGCT